TTCTTGGTTGCAACTGCCTCCTGACCACCCCCAGGGCTCAGTTCTCAGGCCTCCCCTCCTCTATCAATACTCGGTCTCAGGGCAAACTGTGTATTAAAGGCTTTAAATAACATATATAATCTGATGACACCCAAATTTCTATCTTCCACCCAACCTGCTCCCTGAACTCCAGAGATGCAGATATATAAACATGTATCTACCACTCTCTGCCCTGCTCATTGCACTCCACTTACACTGCCCTTCTTGTCATCCTCGTATCTGGCATGCTCCTGCCTGTGTGTTTATACTTGAAGTTCTCTCACCAGGGATATTCTTCCTCTGAGCAGTCCCATGTCCTTCTCCTCCACCATTTAGTCTCTGTTCCAATATTACCCTATGCAGAAGACTTTCCAAGCCCTTCTAAAATAGTATCTTCTTAGCCTACTCTATGGCATTTGTCACCAACTGACAGTCCATTATCTATTTGCATGTTCATTTGCTTTACTGACTGTCTCCATATCAAAATGTAATCTCCATGAAGGTAGGCCATTTGCCCATGTTGTTCACTGCCTGGCACAGAGTGGGTACTAAAACATTTGTTGAATTTTAAGATACATGAAACTTTTCTGTTATCTTCAAAGGGTGGGATTATGAGAACCTTTCAACAGGTAAGTTATACATTTCAGTGATGTTTGAAATTTTTACAGTAAAAATGTTGATATAGTTTAGATATGTGTGCCTGCCCAAATCTCATATTGAACTGTAATCCCCAATGCTGGAGGTGGGGCCTGGTGGGAGGTGTTTGGATCATGGGGATAGATCCCTCATGGCTTGGTGCTGTCTTCACAATAGTAAGTGAGTTCTTTCGAGATTTAGTCATTTAAAAATGTGTGGCATCTTCTCCCCATATCTGTTTCTCTTTCTCTCAAGATGCTACATGCCTGCTCTGCCTTCACCTTCCACCATGACTGTAAGCTTCCTGAGGCCTCCCCAGGAGCTAAGCAGACGCCAGCACTATGCTTTCTGTAACGCCTACAGAACTGTGAGCCAATACGACCTCTCTTCTTTATAGACTACCCAGTCTCAGGTGTATCTTTATAGCAATGCAAGAAATGACTAATACATATGTAATTGCGTATCAGAAAAACAAGAGCAAATAATAAAAATATTAAAGCTTAACAATAACAAAAAGGAATCCAATTATATGACCTGAAACTATGTATTCATGTAAGTTACAGAGAAGTTTACAAGTAGGTCAGTAGGACCTAGACAAGGATGACAAGTAAGTTTTACCTTGGAAGCCAAGGTGGTTGCTTGAAGCACTATATTGAAAGGGCCCCTGACACTAAATCAGTTTTAGCAGGCAGGAGTACCATACTGAGGGATATTTTCCAGGAAAACAGAAGGGGTGGGAATAGTGGCATTCATGCTAGATGAATTCCGATGCCAGATGAATGCCACTCCATGACTTTAAATCCAGGTGTGGACTATTTTCAACCCTTTCTCTTCAGTTGGCTGCTTCCAAGAATGCCTATTTGTACACTCTTTGTCAATCTGAAATCTCCATATCAATGTCTGAGAGATCTCAAACTTACATCCAAAACAGAACTTTTGATCTACAGTCCCCTTTAAAAACAAAAACATTACCCCAGTCCCCTCTCTTTCAGTAATGACACCTCATTCACTCAGCTGCCCAGATAAAAACTCTAGAAACTATCCTTAATTCCCCTCTTTCACTCAGCCCTAACCCATACATTTATATTCTCAAGCAAATCTTGTTAGCTGTACCCCAAAGCATTTGCTAACTTTTCTGTGTCTCTCCATTTCTAAGGTTAGTACCTAAGACCAAGACACCATGGCCTCTCACCTGGTCCACTTTAATATAACAGCCTTCTAGCTGGTCTACCTGTTCTCACTTGTGCCCCCTTATAATCTATTATCCACACAGCAGCCAAAATCATTTTTTAAAATGAATACCCATATCGTGTCCCACTGCACTTGGAATAAAATCCAAACTCCTAACCCTAGGTAGTCTTCCCCAGTCTGTTTCTCCAACTTTATCTCAAACCACTCTCCTCTTACTGCCTAGGCTTCAGCCATGCTGGCCTCCTTTGAGTATCAAAACTGCTTTCACCACTAGGTTTTTCTACCAACTGATCCCTAGACTAGAATGTTCTTCCTCTGATAAGCTTTTCTTACGACAATAAGATCTCATGTTAAAGGCCCCTTCTTCAGAAGTCTTCCAGATCTACTCAATTTAAAGTGGCAACTCAGTCACTATCACATAATCCTATCTTAAATCTACACAATACAAGTAACTGTTTGGCATTTGAGCAGTCTAATTTATCAATTTGTTTGTTGTCTCACTACCCTATTATAATATAGGATCAAGACAGTGAAGATCCTAAGAGTAAGTAGGCGAGAGGCCTACTTAATATTTAGTGAAGATGATTTGTGCAGTTTATAATGTGTGTCATATTCAGTAAAACAAGTTTATTTTGTGTGTCTGTGTGTGTTTATTTATTTATATTAGAGGAATAAATGAGTGAGAACAGAACTAAGTAAGAATTCCCAATTTGGAATTAAAGTAATTCTCTGAGGTTGAAAAAAACCCACAAATTTATTTTGATTCAAATTCAAAGGTACCTATATATATATTTTTTTTTTCACCAGGGAGAATTAGGTGCTGACTAAAACAATGAAAAAACAATTTGCCCTAATGGAGCTCGAGGGCAATAATAAACAGGCTATGGTAAGTAAATGCCATGAAAAGGGTACTACAGTATAAGGTGCTATACGTACACTTAACCAAACCTGGGAGGTAGAGAATCAGGAAATGCTTCCCAAAGAAATGCCATTTAAACTGAATCTGATCCAAAGGATGAGTAACTGTGGGAAGGGGTGGGGGTGTGGCAAGGAAGACATGAAGTATAAGAGTATTTTGAATAGAGGAAAGATGAGCAAAGCCCAGAATCCAGAGAGCTGACAACATACTCAGGGAACTAAAACTAATTTACTGTGGCTGAAGAGCAAAGTATGAATTGAGAAGTACTGAGAGAGACCAAAGAGGTCAACAAGGGTTATAGATCATGAAGCCTGTTAAGGAGTTCGGACTCTATCCTAAGGGTAAGAGTCATTAAAGGATTTAAATAATTTTTATATGTAATATAACCCTTATTAACAAAAGATAATTTTAGCCAATGTGAAGTGTTTAGAGGGAGACAGAAAGGTCAACCTTGAGATTGTTACAGTTTTCCAGGCAAGACATAATTGTAGCCAGAATTAGAATAGTAAGAGTGGAGACAATCAAAAGTGAATATTAAGATTCTACTCTAAGAAGTATTAGAAGCAGTTAAGTGAACACTAAAAGCACAAATACAGAGGTAGAGTTGTAACAGTGAATAAATTACCAGATTTCACAGAACATGGGACATCTAAGTTGAAATTTCAAGAAGGTACAGCAAGATTTCCAAAGAAGAAGAAAAGGCATTTTAAACTTTATGAAATCCTTTTATTTTCCTTTTTATATAGAGACAGGATCTTACTCTGTCACCCAGGCTGGAATGCAGGAGCACCATCATAGCTATCTGCAGCCTCAAACTCCTGGGCTCAAGAGATCCTCCTGCCTCAGCATCCCAAGTAGCCAAAGTGCTGGAATTATAGTTGTAAGCTACTGTGCTGAGCCTATAACAGACTTTTACGTAGCAGAGTTATTTCCCTGTTCAAATAATTAGAAAAAATTTAAAAATCATCTGTATGTTTAAAATGTATATCCTATTTTTTTAGGCAGAAGCTTTAAAAAAATCTCCATTTCTGACTCATCTTACATTATGATTTCATCATATTCTATTAAATCTATTCTAATAAACTATGAGCTATAAAAATCTTGAGTCTGGCCTCCCGCAGATCTTTGTCATCATTATAAAAGTTTTCCTGACAGTAAAATTACAATGAAAAAATAAAAATAGTCCAGTCAAGACATATACAGTGTATATGTAAATTTTTAAATAACTGAAGACTTTAAAATAATGGAACATATTGTTTTATCATTATAAACATTAGACCAATAATAAAATGTATCTCAGGATGAGTTAAACTTAAAAGATAACAACTGTACACTCTAATTCAGCAAATATTTATTGAGAATTTATACACCTATACACATACATGTTTCCATATACATTGGCACTATAGTAGGCAATAGAAAGATAAAGAGCTAGGAGGCAGATGCTGCCTCAAGAATTTTGTAAGCTAGATGGGAAGAAAGACGTAATTCATTTCAGGTAGCACTTTTACAAGACTTCTACAATGATAATGTGACTTTATGAATAAAAATGGTTCTAGCAGAGGAGACTTTGATATTCTTTTGCATTTAATAATGTAAGATGCAGATGTCAAAGAATTAATACACTAACTATAGTGAACATATTTTATATTTCCATTATTTTATTCTATAGATGTAATGTTGGATTCAAGAAAATTACTACTGATTTGAATTATGACCAAAAAGTTTAACTGCCAAATATCAAAAAGAAACATCAAACTCTAGGTAAGAAATACATGGCAAACACAGAAGACATATGAAGATGAAAAGAGTATCTGGCTGGGTGCGGTGGCTCATGCCTGTAATCCCAGCGCTTTGGGAGGCTGAAGCAGGTGGATCACCTGAGGTCAGTTTGAGACGAGCCTGGCCAATGTAGTGAAACCCCATCTCTACTAAAAATACAAAAATTAGCTGGGCACTAATGTACAGCCAGTTGCGGGTGCCTGCAATCCCAGCTACTAGGGAGGCTGAGGCAGACGAATTGCTTGAACCCAGGAGGCGGAGATGGCTGTGAGCCGAGATCGTGCCACTATACTCCAGCCTGGGTGACAGACAGAGACTCTGTCTCCAAAAAAAAAAAAAAAGCAAGCAAAGGAAAATCAACATAATTACATATTTGTATTTTAGATCTATAATTTAAGTAACATATTTATCTCCTGGTCTCACTTTAATACTTGAAAGTAACAATAACACTTACCTTACAACTATAAGAATGGCTATAAGAATTGAACAGATAGGATCTGCTATCATCAGACCAAAATTTTGCATCATGATGGCAGAGGCAATTACACCAATACTTCCAAGAGTATCTGCTAGGATATGTAAAAATACACCTAGAAATAAACCATCATAAAAATCAAAACAGTCTTTTGGTTAATTTAAAATACAAATATATCCTAGAGCTAGACTCTTAATTTTATATACAAAAAACTAGATACCAATTTCAAAAATAAGTAAGCATGTATATTCACCATTTAGTAACCATGTAATAGTACATTTATGAATTAAAATCAATTTTTCTGTTTCAAATCAACAGGGGTTGAAATATCTGACTGGTAAATCATACTTTTTCTTAATGATATAAATGAAGCAGAGAAGTAAGTTGATTTTAAAAATTATTTGTGAACGTTCACCTCTGGCTAAAAGGAGTCCAAAAGTCAGTAATTTGTTATGGGAAGGAAACTGCATTAGGCTAAAAGAACCGGTCAAGAAACATTTTAACTATAGATATATGTACATACAGAGCCCTCTGCTGGTGATTAAAATTATTACCATTTGGGACTATAATTTCCTATAAACCATAACTTATCCTGTTACACTTATTAATTATCCTAAAAGCTCTATCTAAATTGGTTACATACTATACTCAGAGGTGATGTGAAAGCAGGCGCTAATTTCAATATTTTTAAATAAATATAAAATACATGTTGAACTTTTAATAATTAAATATTAAATTGGTAGGATACTGATGTTATACTGATATTCTAAGAACTTAGACATTTAGTAAGTCAAAGTTGCCCAGAAAACCATTTAAGATGTCAAGATTTATGTACAATATTTTCTGAAAAAACTCAACTAAGACAAATTATTCAACGTTTAGATCTTTAATACAAAATTTCTACATAGCAAAACATTCTTTTAAACTTCAACCATGTCTTGCTAAAAATAGAACATTCTTCAATACCATCACCTGCCCTATCTGAAAAGAAATAGTTAATGCATAAAAAGCACATATCTAGTTGAGAATACTTGAGCTTTCGTTTTTAGTATTCACTGCACAAAAAAAGGTGAACCATAATTATTTGGAGGTACAGAAATACAAACTTAAATTCAAGAAATGTTCTCAAAATTTAAAAACTGACCGCTAATGAGTCAAATCAAATCTTGTGTTCTGGGAAATTATACTTCATTTTATCTGCCACTGATGGAAATTTATATCAAATATTATATTAAATATAAATCATCCCTCACTACCTACATATAACTTTTCATTTATATACAGTTTAACTCTATTATTATAACTCTTCTTCAAAAAGAACAGTTCTTTAAGAACTCTCTTAAAAATTTTTCCAAAACAAAAGAATTTTGTCATACTTACAGACATAGATATACAGATTTTTGTCATACTTATAGAATATTCAGTTCCTGTTAGGTATTTCAAACAGCAGTGAATTAAATAGGTTAATAATGTTGGGGCCACTTTAACTTTTAAAACTAAAACTGGAAAAAAATATACACATCAAAGCAGATTGAAGGTCCCTAACTACAAACTCTTATGTATGATACATGCTTTTAAACCTTTATATCCTTTAATCAGTGTTTTGGTAGAATACAAAATGAAAATAACTCTAAACATGAAAGGAAAAAGAAAATAATGATTTGTTCTTGCTTTTCCTTAGACTGGAAAGTCCCTGGCTACAATTTATTTTCTAACCTGAAAACTGGTTTTATTAGTAAGTGTCATTAAAACTACCTAAGCCCTTCTTACTATATAAACTGTTTAAGAAAAAAACCACTAAGAAAGAAATATAAACAAGGATGTTTAACTTACACAAAGTTAAAAGTCTTAGAAGATGTGGTAGGATACTGATAACCTAACCCCCCAAAACCTTAGTAAGCCAGGAGTCAAAATGTAGCAAATAATTGAAAAACTTAATTAATTCAAGTTTTTCACGTATGAGTATCTATCTACCTGGTCATTTTACAAGAAGTTTTTAATGCCAGCTAGTTATCTCTGTTCTTCAGCTATTTACTGGGCTCTTCAGCCACCATAAATTGATAAGTATTCAGAAAATATAAACTTATTTTCATAATAACTTATATAAAAGAGAATTAGGAAGGCAAATCTAACTTCCTTTCCTCCAACTTGTGATGACTTTCAAAATTAAATTCTTATTATCAAGGCTAATTTATACTACTTGATACAGATGCATCAAATATGCATGATTATATGCTATTTCAGCAAATGTTATTCTAAAACAATTCCATATTTTGTAAATGGAAAACTTGTGCTTGGAAGACACATTTAAGCCTTCTGAAAATAAATTTCTCAGTATGAAGGAATATATTCACAGTGAAAAATACAAAACGAGAGTTATATAAAGAAATAGTGAAGAAAAATATGTGTAGTTGAGATTGGATAAGATGCCATTCAGAAAGTCAGACGGAAGTCAAAAGTTAATAAAGGCAAGTAGATAGCTGTGAATTAGGAAACCCTGACAATAAAGTCTAAATGGAAACTCAGAGCCAGAGATAGGTTCATAACCACCCCCCACAACAAAAACAAAAAAAAACCCCAAAAACTAATATAATTCATAGACAGGATTGATTTTCTCTGGCTTGTAAAACTTTGTAATATACAATTTTACACAACATGTAAGCTCCTACAGGTATTAGCTATTGATGGCCTACAAATATGATGGAGTTCTCACTTTGCATTAAATTTTTAGCTCTAAATTTTCTCACAACATAAAAACATATTAAATATTATTCTTGGAAAAACGATGTAATAATCCTGTAAAAGCAAATATACTACTACAGACAGTCCTCGACTTAAAAGGATCAACTTGTGACTTTTTGGCTTCATCATGGTGCGAAAGCAGTATGCACTCAATAGAAACTATACTTCAAATTTTGAATTTTGATCTTTTCCTGGGCTAGCAATAATGTGCTATGATCATCTCTCATGATGCAGGGCAGCAACAGCAGGCAGCAGCTGCCAGTCAGCCACGCAATCACAAGGGTAAACAACTGATATTGTACTCTGCAGTGGACTGTATTAAATAAATGACATGATATTCAACACTTTATTACAAAATAGGCTTTGTGTTAGATGATTTTGCCCAACTATAGGCTAATGCAAGTGTTCTGAGCACACTTAAGGTAGGCAGGGCAAAACTATGATGTTCAGTAGGTTAGGTGTATTAAATGCATTTTCAACCCACAGTATCTTCAACTTACCACGGGTTTATTAGGACACAACCCCACAGTAAATCAAGAAGCATCTATACAATGTTTATAGTCACAGGCGTGGGTATTACTTGTATTTAAGCAGAATAGTTTCTGAATCATCTTCTTTTGAGACGCGAGTCTCGCAGGTTCCCCAGGGTAGTCTCAAACTCTTGGGCGCAAGCAATTCTCCCACCTCAGCCTCCTGAGTAGCTGGGATTGTGGGGACATGCCAACTACACCCAGCTCAATATTTTGCTTTTATTATCAAATCAGAGAAAACAGTCAAGTGATAATTAAAAGAATGTCTGCTAATATATCTAATAGCATATAAAAAATAATCACTAGAAAGGCTAACACTAAACACAAACACTGTGTTATATATTTTTCTTAAAGGAAAACTTCAGACAACTAAAACTTCAAAACTATAAAAGCAGTTCCAAAAAACTAAGAAACACAAAGATTGCTTGTCATACCTTGTAAAATCTGTCTGCTGGGTCCTGTTGTTTCTTTTAAGGAGGGGCCATCTGTAAAGAATTAAGTTATTTTAAAACATGTTTTCAATTCCTCATTCAAATTTTTACAATTCAGAGTCCTTTTCACTCAAATGTATCACGAAGAATGCATAGCTATACAGCCACATCAAACTTACAAATTTATTTTTAAAATGTAATGAAATAATCGAGTGGAGGTAAATTTAGCGGCGGTAGTTCTAAAATTCATCAAAGGTATGGAGTATTTCAGAAATTATTGTATTAAAAAGATTAAAAGCACAGAAAATTAAAAACATTGTGAAAATTTTCCAATATTCATAAAATATCTTTTAATACTTTTACAACTGGAAAATTCAGAGAAAACCAAATGTACTGCTTGAAGTTATGAGGTCCAAGAAACGAAGCCAGGATAGAAAGATAACTCGACTATGGTAAATAGTTTTTCAACAGCTTCTAGATTAATGTGGCAAATTCTTGATACAGAAGAGATAAAAATAATTTTTTTCATTTTGCCTTTATGATAAAAAAATGCTATAATTTCTATCTTTAAATATCTTGAAAATTACTAATCAGCTTTAACATTAAAGCAGAAAAATACAGGAAGACAAGGCAAAAGATGAGCAATATTTGTTTAAACAGATTATCAGGAAGACTGACAAGCTTTCTAATCACAACCAACAAAGTACCTGCTATCATCATTTGTTCACGGCCCACAGCACAGAACCTTAACAGTACAGCTTTTACTGTACTGTAACAATGTTCTGCAATAATGTAACAAAGAAATATAAAAGCATAACACCATATAATATTTCCTATCTAGATATTGTACTGCTGTGTGGGAATGAAGAAGTAGCTACCCTGAAAAATCCAGCTGATAGCCAAAAGTGTGAGAGATACGCAATTTTTCAACATTATTTTGGGATGCATGTGAGCAAAGTTGGAAAAGCAAGGTTTTAAAGCATGCCAGTGTAACTATTATAAAAATACAGCATATTTTAGAGACTGACACAGGCAACAGGCAAAAATAGACAAGTAGGATTACATCAAATTAAAAAACTTCTGCAAGGCAAAGGAACCAAATAACAAAATGAAAAGGCAACTTACAGAATGACAGAAAATATTTGCAAACTATGTATATGATAAAATATATACAGAACTCACAATCAACAGCAAAGTAAATAAATAACCTGATTTTAAAATGGTCAAAGAGTCACAGAACATTACATGTTCTCACTTATTGTGGAGTATAAAAATTCAAAACAATTGAACTCATGGATGCAGAGAGTAGAAGGATGGTTACCAGAGGCTGGGAAGGGTAGTGTGGTGCTGCGGGGGGAGAGTGGATAGTTAATGGGTACAAAAAAAAACAAAGAATGAATGAATAAGATCTACTATTTGATAGGACAACAGGGTGACTACAGTCAATAATAATTGTACCTTTCAAAATAACTAAAAGAGTATAACTGGATTGTTTGTAACACAAAGGATAAATGCCTGAGAAGGATACCTCATCTCCATGATGTGATTATTTCACACTGCATTCCTGTATCAAAACATCTCATGTACCCCGTAAGAATATACACCTACTGGTTGGGCGCAGTGGCTCACACCTGTAATCCCAGAGCTTTGGGAGGCCAAAGCAGGTGGATCACAAGTTCAGGAGATTGAGACCATCCTGGCTAACACAGTGAAACCCTGTCTCTACTAAAAATACAAAAAGTTAGCTGGGCGTGGTGGCACATGCCTGTAATCCCAGCTACTTGGGAGGCTGAGGCAGGAGATTCACTTGAACCTGGGAGGCAGAGGTTGCAGTGAGCCGAGATCGCACCACTGAACTCCAGCCTGGGAGACAGAGTGAGACTCTGTCTCAAAAATAAATAAATAAATAAATAAATAAATAAATAAATAAATCATAAGAATGTACACCTACTATGTACCCACAAAAATTAAAAATAAAAAAATTCATTAAAAAATTTTAAAAAAATAACAAATGGCCAAAGGAATCAAATAGACATTTCTCCAGAGAAAACACACAAATGGCCAACAGGCTCAACATCACTAATCATCAGGGAAATGCAAATCAGAATCACAATAAGATATCATATCATACCTGTTAGGATGGCTATTACCAAAAAACCAAAAGACAGTAAGTGAGGGCAAAGCTGTGGAGAAAAGGAAACCCTTGTTTCCTTTTCTTTTACTGGTGGCAATGTAAACTGGTGCAGATACTATGGAAAACAGTATGGAGGGTCCTCAAAAAAACAATAATAGAACTACCGTATGATCAGCAAACTGGGTATATACCCATGAGAACTGAAATCAAGATCTCAAAGAGATATCTGCACTTCCATATTCACTACAGCATTATTCACAATAGCCAAGACATGGAAGCAACCTAAATGTCCATCAATGGATGAATGGGTAAAGCAATGTGGTATATACATACAACGGAATATCATTCAATATCATTTCTTTCTTAAAGAAAGAAATCCTTCTAATTTTGACACATAAGTGATCCTGAAGGACATTATGCTAAGTGAAATAAGCCAGACACAGAAGGACAAATACTACATTTATACCACTTTTATGAGGAATCTAAAACAGTCAAACTCATAGAAATAGAGAATAGAACAGTGGTTGCCAGTGGCTGGAGGAAGTTGGAAATGAGGAAATCTTAGTCAAAGGGTACAAAGTTTCAGTTGTGCTAAATAAATAGGTCCTAGGGATTTGTATGGCATAGTGCCCATAGCTAATACTGTATTGTACACTTAAAAATCTGCCAAGAGTGTAGATCTTATGTTAAGTGCTCTTACTGCAAAAGTAAAAGAAAGAAAGAAAGAAAGAAAGAAAGAAAGAAAGAAAGAAAGAAAGAAAGAAAGAAAGAAAGAAAGAAAGAAAGAAAGAGAGAGAGAGAGAAAGAAAGAAAGAAAGAAAGAAAAACAAAGAAAGAAAAAGAAAGGGAAAGGGAAAGGGAAAGGAAAGGGGAAAGGGGAAAGGGGAAGGGAAAGGGAAAAGGAGGAAGGGAGGAAGGAAGGAAGGGAGGGAGGGAGGGAGGGAGGGAGGAAGGAAGGAAGGAAGGAAGGAAGGAAGGAAGGAAGGAAGGAAGGAAGGAAGGAAGGAAGGAAGGAAAGGGAAGGGAAGGGAAGGGAAGAGAATTGAGAGTAGAAGGAAACTTTCAGTGGGAATGGATATGTTTACTGGAGAAATCATGGTGATGGTTTCATAGGTGCATACTTACCTCAAACTCATCAAGTTGTATACATTAAATATTTATCTCTTTCCATATGTCAATGTCAATCATATCTCAATAGAGTAGTTAGAATTTTTTTTTTTTTTTTTTTTTTTTTTTTTTTTTTGGACAGAGTCAGCTCTGTTGTCCAGGCTGGAGTGCAGTAGCATGATCTCAGCTCACTGCAACCTCCACCTCCTGGATTCAAGCTATTTTCTTGCCTCATGGAAAAATTTCAAAGACTGAAAAATGAAGGGCTTAGAAGGCTCACTCTCCAAGGTCCCTTTCATATTTTCAATTCTAAAGCTGTAAGATTCTGTCTATGTTGCAAATACAAGATAATGCCTTTTTTTTTTTTTTTTTTGAGACGGAGTTTCGCTCTTGTTGCCCAGGCTGGAGTGCAATGGCGCGATCTCGGCTCACAGCAACCTCTGCCTCCCGGGTTCAAACCATTCTCCTGCCTCAGACTCTGGAGTAGCTGGGATTACAGGTATGTGCCACCACGCCCAGCTAATTTTGTATTTTTGGTAGAGACGGGGTTTCTGCACGTTGTCAGGCTGGTCTCAAACTCCGGACCTCAGGTGATCCACCCGCCTCGGCCTCCCAAAGTAGTGGGACTACAGGTGTGAGCTACCACGCCCGGCCAATACAAGATAATACCTAAGTATACACTCTATTGAGAGTAATCAAATTGTGTCACCCAAGCAACTTCTATTAAGCTATACTTTATAAACTATGTAAAATATAATTCAAAATAAAATATTAAGTTGATAAACACCTCGTAAGTTAGTACCCAATGCTATAAAAGTAAGCATCCAAAGATTTCTAAAAAAAATATAGAGGTAAACATCAGGTGACAGACATCAAAAATTATAATACAAATGTGAAAAATTGAAAACCTCTACCATATTTTTATAAGCCAATATAGCACAAAAGGCCTCATGATGCTTAAAAAATTATGATTTTCATTTCCTAAAATGCAATTGCTCCTCATTCACTAACACTCATTTAAAATAGTGACTTTGGGGGGAGGGAAGGGGGGATGGTTAATGAGCACAAAAAAAATAGTTGAATGAATACGACCTAGTATTTGCTAGAACAGAGTGACTATTATCAAATTGCAATTTCATTGCACATTTTAAAATAACTAAGAGTATAATTGGGTTGATTTTAACACAGGATAAATGGTTGAGGGGATGGAAACCCCATTTACCCTTATGTGATTACTATGTATTACATGCCCGTACCAAAATGTCTCATGTAACCCATAAATATATATACCTACTATGTACCCACAAAAATTAAAAATAAATACATAAGAGAGTGGCACTGTATTATGATACACCCCCTGGAAAAAAGCTAGCATCCACTGCCTTATACTGAGTTAATTTCACGCTATACAAAAAATAAACTAGCCCTGGGAGCCATTTAGACTGATTCATTAGAAAAGAAGTTGATCGAGTATCTTTTTAATAAACTATTTCAACTAGGAAAAGTATTCCACAAAACTCTTGTTTATTTGGAGGCTGTCCATTTGTCTTTAGGCTGTACTCACCATGAGAATGAAAGTGTCCATGTCCGTGAGCATGATCATGGCTATGTGCAGCACCATGTTTCACTTCATGGCTATGGCAATGATCGACATGGCCATGTGCCTGATCTAGAGCACCATTAAAGAGGGAATGACTGTGTCCATGGCCTAGAAGACAAAATGTTAGGACAGAAGGTATGTAAAAATATATAAATGGTTACAATTATACTGACACTAGTACAAAGAATAAGCTCTAAACTCAGATCAATTCAATAAACATTTACTTGTAAAAAGTGTTATAGATTTATTAAAACAATCCTAAGTTCCTGCTATGGAGTACCAAAAGGTAAGGAAAGCATAGAGGAAAGTAATAGACATTACTGGAAATGAAAATAAGTACTGACTGGAAGTATACAGATATATCCAAAGAGGTCAGATAATATTATTCATTCATTTGAGAAATATTTATTTGTAACATTTTATATTATAGGAATCATTCTAGGTACTGGAGATGAGGCAGTAAACAACAAAGACAAAATTCATGGCCTAAAGTTTTCAAAGTACTCTTACACACACTAATAAAGATTAACAAGACATACGGAAATGCTCACATTAAGGCAGACACAAGAAAGTTGCTGCATTTGGCAACAGAATCAGTAAAATTACATTAAAGCAGGTAGAAAAAGCTAAATGCAAAAGAACGCAGAATCCTCTCTCCACAGCATACCTAAAAACGACTAAACCACCGAGAAGCATCTTATACAAGCTATTCTAAAGGACAGAAAAAGAGTGGATGCTATCCAAGTCTTTTATGACTTTTACAAAAATTCTAAATACCAGTAAATTAAATCTAGCACTGCACCATATGAAAAAATCATGACTATCAGGATCTCCAAGACATATTTACATAGTACATTTCATAAACACACACTCTGTTTTTTTTTTTTTTTTAGACAGAGTCTTGCTCTGTCAGTCAGGTTGCAGTGCAGTGGCACGATTTCGGCTCACTGCAACCTCTGCCTCCCGGGCTCAAGCGACTCTCCTATCTCAACCTCCTGAGTGGCTAAGACTACAGGCATGCGCCACCATGCCTGGCTTTTTTTTTTTGAGACGGAGTCTCGCTCTGTCGCCTAGCATGCCTGGCTAATTTTGTGTTTTTTTGTAGAGATGGGGTTTCGCCATATCGCCTAGGCTGGTCTCAAACTCCTGGATTCAAGTGATCCACCTGCCTTGGCCTCCCAAAGTGCTGGGATTATAGGTGTAAGCCACTGTGCCCAGCCCACACAAAACTTTTTGATAAGTAGATTTGTTTTGTGGTTTTCTGATATTTGTTTATCTTACATAAATGATATCACACTAAAAAGATAAGTTACTGCGGTCTGGTGGGATCCATGATAACAAGCATAGCTCTGAGAAGGCACTGAGATGGAGGGGCATAAAGAAGTGAAAGGGATAGTTCAGGAAGATATTCATATAGTCTGTTGACATATTACTTTTGTTATCAGAAATCAATATAGTTTACCTTAAATTAACAATTCTCTCAAGTAAATAATTATGACAGAAACCTAGTAGAAAATGAAGAAACAAAGCGTTCTAACCGTCATACCAGAGCCATGAGAATGTCCATGACCTCCATGTTTGAAAACAAATATTCCTATTAGGTTTACCACAAACCCAAGAATGGAAACAAGTAGCAGTCTCTCATGGTGGACATCTGGAGGGGCTAATGCTCTCTAGAAAACAAACAAATGGCATTGATATTATTTCTGATTGATCAACTAACAAAACCATAAGACAATATTAAACACTTTCAGTTATTTTTGGAATTAAAAGCACTAAAAAAACCTCCCAAAACAGTTCATAGAAATAAAACCAGTGCTCACATACTGTAAAAAAATGAACAATTACTATTTTACAATACATACAAATGTTTAAAAGCATAAATATTTCGTCCAAAACTTGTTCTTATTTGGTATCTTAAAATGCTGCCTTTCATGGCTCACGCCCTGTAAGCCCAGCACTTTGGGAGGCTGAGGCAGGCGGATCACCTGAGGTCAGGAGTTTAAGACCAACCTGACCAACATGGTGAAACCCCATCTCTACTAAAAAAAAAAAAAAAAATAGCTGGGCATGGTGGTGGGTGCCTGTAATCCAACCTACTCGGGAGGCTGAGGCAGGAGAATCGCTTAGACCCACGAGGCAGAGGTTGCAGTAAGCCAAGATTGTGCCACTACACTCCAGCCTGGGCAACAGAGCGAGATTCCATCTCAAAAAAAAAAAAAAAAATACTGCCTTTCATTTTAAGTTCACTAATCTTTACATTTTCTTCCTTTTTAAAAAATACACCAAATGTTAAAGATTCACTGGTAAAACTCTCAGGTTCTAATTTCTTTAGAAATACTTCCCTATTGACCTCACTATCCAGATTATACCTCTACATTTCACAGCGTTAACACTTCATCCATAACTTGTAAAGCACTATCATTTAATTGTTTTCAATTCCAAGAAGATTCATATATATTTAATTTTCCAACTATTTTGCAAGTTCCTCTTGTACACACAAAATATCTAATCCAAGATTATTCACGATATTTAATAATAGTCAGAAAAAGCTCTGTTATATATCTTTAATTAATAAACATTTTCATTACAGAAATGTAATTTATTGACTTTAATCATTATCTACTATACCTCAACTCCTTCTGAGAAAATAAAAAAAGCAGTGAAGATCAAAAATAGGCCATTGACAAAGCCAGCCAGAACTTCCGCTCTAACATACCTAAAGAGGAACAAAGTCAATAACTTAATTCTTGTGTTATTTCTTAAAAATTAAATCATAAAATTACATACATTCAGAGATTCCAAACCATATTATATGGTTATAAGTGGTTAGCAAAGTCCTAGTGTTTATAGTACAGTGCATTTTATTTTATATACAGTAGAAATGAGGAAATGAATTATTATGAATTGTTTAAAAGCAGAATGCCACAAAACACAGATTTTTACAAGCCAATCAAAAGATCTTCTTAAGAGTAAGTAGTTTTAGAAAGACCTTTCACAGAAATTTAAATCTCAAGTTGTTACTGGAGAAGGAAAAACAGAACCAGACAAGTGGACAAACAAAGAAGGATTAACAGATAAAAAGTAAAACAAAGGGTCTGGAAAAGGGTTTTTTTTTTAACTTATTAATTTCTCTTTTTCTAAGAACTCCTTATGCTTTCTGCTTTGTACCTTTTAGCTTTCAAATCTTTGGAAAGTAGAGCTTTGATCTGAAGGAAAATAAAATTATTTCTGATTTATCCCAGAGACAACTTGAGATTTATATTTCTAACACTTTTTCTAAGATTAATAAATTTAGAATAAACTTTCAATTACCTATTTTTAGAACCAATTTTAGCTTCACATAATTCTAATTAAACTGTTTTTAAAATACCTGTCTTTTGTTCCATGGAGTTCTGAAGCTTTCTGCTTCCTACCTGTGTGAAGCATTGGGGAAAGATTTTATTTTTCCATACGATGTATTTGGCTTAGTTAAAGTAATCAGGAACAACTTTAACTTAGCATTTTTACATGTTCAAACATCATTCAAAGGATGCTAATAGCAGTTAACCACTTTGGTCCTTAAACAATATAATGAGAGCATCAAAACTCATGCCTTTCCTAGGTTTCTATGTTAACTTCTAGGTAATACAATTTTTACTATAAAAATATTTTTAAAGAGAATTCCTGAAAATGTACTCTATTTAAAGTTATGTTGGAGTTTGTCCTGTCAAGCGCATTCCAACATAGCATGTATTTCTATCCCAGAAATAATGCATATTTCTATCTTCTAACACATTCAAATAACATATTACTTGTCAAAACGTTTTTTTTTTTTTCCTGGAGAAAAGTTCATTAAATTCAAATAATTTGCAGCCAGCATTCCATAACCTACACTTAGGAATTTATGTAATAAATCAGCAGGGTTACTATCTAAAAGTAAAAAGTATTTTCTTTTAATCTACCTTTGTAGTCCCATAACTAATGCTTAACTGAAAGTCTTTTGTGCTTGAGTTCTACCAGATTTCAAGATCAAAGGCAAGAATGTTTTTCAGGCATCTTTTTGTTTCTAATTCCTAGCTTAGTAGGTGTGCTGCCTAAGTGCAGATAAGCTGTTGGAGTGATTTAATTAGCTTGAGTTTAAGATATATTTGTTAAACTTGGTTGTAGGTTCAAAACAAAAACTCAAGAAAACTAAACACACTTGCCTTTACAAATAGCTGTGTTTACTTAACAGATTGAGAAGGTTTTAGAATGAGAACATGTAATTCATGAATGTGCTGTTGCCTAATTAAGTATGGTTAGTGTTTAGATTCTTGAGCCAGGAAGAAAAATACAAAAGATTTAAGTATAGGTACATACGGATATATGCACGTATGTATGTATCTATCTACCTACTGGATGTATATTACTTTTATGCTGGCTTTGCTCTTTAAAAAATAAGAGTGTGGCAAGACACAAAGATGACTTTTATTTAAAGAAATACTTAAGAGTCCTTGCTTGCTCTCATATTCCCCAACTCTTTCTTCTATTGCAGAGTCAGTCCACTACCGCGGTTATCCTGAATTGGGAGGGTTTTATGAGAATTCAACTCCATGTTTAACATGAATCAATCAGTGTCATTTTGATATACTGCCACCAGTAGTTTACAAATGATGCTACTTATTACTATACCAATTATTCATAGTGTTAAATATTGTACCAGCTTTTATTCGTTAATCTTTCCCAAAAGAAAACATACACACACATACACATACACACACACACACACACACACAAACACATACAGAAGGAGAGGACAGGATTAAATTAAAAGTGGAAAGAATATTATTCTCTTATATCAACTAGCTAAAGCTGAATATTAAAATCTGCTACGGTACTGAAGGTATTCAAAGCTATTCCTAAAATCCATTTTAGAGCAGGAGACAATACATTCTACATTGGAAACAAAAGAAACTCTAAGCATTAAAGAACTGAGAATTTTTAATAGTCGGCTACTGTTTATTCAGAAAGATTGTTGAATAAGCTATTCTAATTAGATTTCTGATATATAATATAGATTACTAATTTTCCAACAAAAAATTTTAACTTTGGATATAATCTTTCTTTAATAATATAAAATATACTTAGGAATCTATTAGTAACCACTGTTTAAATTATTTGCAAATCACCAATATCATGCCATAAAAAGTGTTCTTATCTGAGCTGTCAAGCTGTTTGAATTTATAGATATACAGGATCTACTGCTCTATATTATAAAATGCACAATTAGTATTTTTTGGCTCACTTTTTATAATTAAACAAATAACCATATCCCTTGGTTATAACTAAAATCAGCAAGTTCTGCCACAGAACTTCACATCTCCTTTTTAGCAATTGTCACAATATAAAGCTATTATTATATTTTTACTAAACTGTTTCCCCAAGAGACAAGTTCCTGCAAGGCAGGAGGCATGTCTTTACATCATTAGATCATTTTTACATCATTAGAACTAGAAAAGTATTTGACTCATATGAACCCTCAATAAATATCTAAAGAGAACAAGAACAAGAACACGTGAAAGAAACAGTGTGTGCTTGCTAAAGGAAAGAAGCAAAGCCAGGGAGAAAGAGGGAGTAGTGAAGGACCAAAAGTAAAAAACATAACAAGAGGCCTAAGAGAGTGCATGTAAGAAGACGGATGTAAAAAGGACAGGGAGGGAGTGAGAGAAACTGCACAGGAAAGGGAGAGCTCAGGGAAGGAGAATCAGTGAAGGAAGGAAAGAGAGACTTGGAAAGGGAGACAAAAAAGAAACAGAGTTAAAGAAGTTAACAGAAGAGGAGGAGGAGAGACAGAGCCTAAGAGATAAAGGGGTAAAAGGTAGAGGAAAAGAGCAGAAGAAAAGAAAGAATAAGATAGGAAAGGTATAGGGGCACAGAAGAAGAGAGAAAAAAAGATCACGAGCACAAGCCCAAGTACAAGAGGCAAAGAACAAGAGAAGGAAAAGGGAGTTCAGGAGAAGATAAGAGAGAGTAAGAGGATGAGGATGGGAACAAGAGAGAAAGAAAATATGAGAGACAGATGAAGAAGGAAGAGAATGTAAAAGAGCACTTGCAGGGGAAAGGAAGAGAAGAGGAGGAAAAGGACAAAGGGGAAGAATCAGAAAGAAGAGAGAGGGAATAGAAAAGACAAAGGGGTGGGGAAGAGAAAGAAACAGAGTATGCATCCTGAGCTCTGCTTACACGTATATACAGTTATACTGCAAATATTCTATGAACTCAAAACAGGAAACACTTAGTGTAATCAAATAATGAAAAAGTCCATTGCTTCCTCCAATCAGAGGTGGCGGAAATCAAATTATGCCTCTATGATGATCCAATGTAATCCCTTCAGCATAAAGATACTCTACAAATATTTGATTAATTGTCCAAATCAGCAAGCATATAAGAACTGTTACATAAAAGCAGAGCTAAAGAGGATAATATAAAACCATATTAGAAAATGATTTTAAATAAATCAACAGCAAAGTACCCATTCAAAAAGAAAAAAGCAAAAGCAAAAGCAAAAAAAAAATGCCTATTTTCATATATTAAAACTTTCTTCAAAAAAAAAAAAGTTGAGAAATTCCTTTATATGGTAGCAATCTCAACAAATTACTGTAGATTCCAATTATATACTGTTTAAAAACTCATCCATGAAGTTATGAAAGCGGTTACCCTTGAGGAGGTAGGAACTCAAAGACGCCTGCGTGGGGACTTCAAAGATTCAAAAGTTACACGTGTGTTCAATTTTTAACAAGTCACTGAGCTTAAGATTAGTGGTTTTTGTGTTTATCTTATATTTCAATAAAAAGGATTTTTTTCTTAAAGTCTTACCCGTAAGAGAAAGCATCATTATCTCTCCATTTTGAAATAACAGAAGCTGCCAGTCCAGCCAAAATGGCAGTGCTATCGAAAAACATGTGAAAAGAGTCGGAAATCAAGCCTAAGCTGGAAAAGAACAAACACATTGACAAATTACAATAAAAACCTAATAGTAGGCATCCTTCTCTGAAAGTCTAAGATTCAGCTTTTGTTCATTAGGAATTAACCATCTAAAACAACAATTTAAATATGCTATATAGATAGCTATTGAGGATAAGTTTCAAATACCTAAAAAGTAAACCCTCATACCTCCTGCACAAGGAAAAGCCCAGCTGCTGTGAGAGGCAGAAACAAAACCATCTGCTGCTGAGTGAGGGGTAGGAATGTGACCACCCCTTGGTCACTTGCAAAGCTCAGCTGCCACTGAAAGACTGGTAGGAAAAAAAAGCCATCTACTACTGGGACGAAGCTGATACCTACTTGCTCCCAGGATCTTACAAAGCAAAGGTCTGCTATTGTTGAGTATCCTGCTCCTCCCTTTTGATACCAGGCTGAGGACAGTGGGGACAGGCTGAGAGACAGGGAGAGCTGCAGGATCATTAATACTCACCCTGACACTCAGGTGCACAGGCTTGCCTGACTAGGGATACAACAAGAGAACCGAGTCCTACCCTCCCCACCAAGCCTTGAATAAAGTATAGGGAACAGTAAACTACCAGTGAGAGCACAAAGAGATATGTGCAGAACTTGCTAAAAGCTGAGAGTGGAGCAAGAACCCTGAAAAAATCCTCCAGTACTCCAAATGCAATACTAATCACAAAGTACTAGGAACCACTGAAAAATTTAAAGGCTGTGATTTGTTGAAATCAGCAACAACAAAACACAAAACCCAGCTCAACCCCAGTTCAACTATTGACCAGATAGTTTCAAAACTCCCATATTAATGGCCAGGCAGAAAAATAGGTGTGCCCATTTCCAGACATATACAGTCTCTATTATTCTTCTAAACAATGTCCAGCACTCAATGACAAAATCAAGAAAAAAAAAAGAGACTCATTGTTAAGAGTTACAACAGTCAACAGAACCAGAAATGGCCCAGATATTGGAACTATTAGATAGGACTTTAAAACAAATACAATTAATATGTCAAAGGATGTGGTATAAAATCAGAGAAAATTCATTAACAAATGAAGAATTTCCGCAGATAAAAACTATAAAATAATATAATGGAAATGATAATTTTTTAAAAATTACAATATGGAGTAATAATAGTCATGGGCTTCTGAGCAGACTGGACACAGAAAGAATCAGTTAGGTCAAAAGAAGTTATACAAAGTGCAACACAAAGAGAAAAGGGAGTAGAAACAAACATACAAACTTTCCCAAACCAGTCTGGAAGTATTGAGCATACTAACACATATGTATTTAGAGTCTCGGGAACTGAAAAGAAAAAAAGAAAGGAAAAGCATTTAAAAAGAAAATGTTTGAGAGTTTTCTGAAATTCATAAAAGAAAATAAATTACAGAGCCAAGAAGCTTAATGAATCCCAAGCAAGGAAAAAAACCCTACACACTTCACAAACCACTAAACACCAAAGAGAAAGAAAAAAATCTTAGAAAACCAGAGGGGAAAAAAGAGAAAAATTAAATTAAAAAAATAAAAATACAATTTATAGCATGTTTTTCTTCAGAAACTATTCAAGCCAGAATGCAATGGAGCAACATCTTTAAAGTATTGAAAAATCAAAAAAAAAAAAAAAAAAATACTGTCAACAACCTAAGGTATCACAATAATAGCACACAGAATGGAATTAAAAAATCAAAGTGTATTATTTTAAGGTTCTTATCAGATACATGAAATGATATATTATTTGTGATAATTTAAAGATTAATATTATACATACTAAAGCACCCACTAAGAAAAGCCACCAAAAGAAGGGCAGGAAATCTTCTACCAACACAAAGCAGACGTTCTGCTACCACTGGGGATGGAGCAGGAAAGTTGTTTCCATCCAGGACCATACACATACACAGAGTAGAGTTTGGCTTCACAGGAGGAGTAAAAATGTTGACAAAAATCATACTCCTGAGGTTTAGGCTTACAGAATCTACCAAAGACCGAAGTTTTGGGTCAAAGTCAACAAATACCCCTCTGCCTTCACCATAAACTGGGTACTGAGTAACAAGCAATAGCAGTCTATAGCTTGGGTAGGGGTAAGAGCATAAAGAAAAGAGCTTCTATGGCATAGGCACCATACAGGGACTACTAAAAGCACAAAGTCTAACCAACTGGTGGTCTGACAGACAAGGCATACCTATTTCTGATCATAAATACTATTACCCCAGTATCTACTGTTTTTTACTCATAATGTCCAATATTTGATAAAAAATTTCAAGATACACAAAAAGAGCCAAAAAAAAAAAAGAAGTCACTGTGGAGAAAGCAGTTAACAGAACCAGACCAAGATACTGACCCAGATACTGGAGCTATCATAAACTGTAATTAATATGCTAAAGGATCGATGGAAAAAGTGGATAAAATATATGAACCAATGGGAAATTTGGTAAAGAAGTGGGAAATACAAAAAATAATCAAATGGAAATGCTAGAAACAAAAAACAAGTTATCAGCAATAAAGAATTCTTCCAATTGGCTTATCACAGACTGGACACAGCTGAGGAAAGAAATCCGTGAACTTGAAGTCAATAAAAATTTTCTGAAAGCAATCATCAGTTCAGTCTTTAAAAACAAGCTTCTGAAGTCAGAGTACCTGGGTTCAAATCCCAGCTCCATATTTACTAGTTCTGTGACCAGTAAGTTGCTTAACTTCTTTGTGCCTCGATTTAGCCATTACTTAAACAGAGTAATAGTATAAAAGTAACATAATTGTTATAATAATTGAGTTAATATATGTGAAACATTTACCACAATGCTTGTCACATTAAAACAACATTAATATTCCTGTTACTACTAATTATTAATAAATTACCTTGATTATTAATTATTAACTCTTATTAATGCTTACAATACCTGGTGTTCCCAAGCACAACCCATACCTCTTAATATTTGGCTAGATGCTAGAGCTTTCATCAGTTGGAAGTGCTACAAACTAAAAGTCAAAAACATTCTTCACACATACAGAAAAAGCATGGTTTTAAATTTTTCTCATAATTTGGAATAATTATATAATTAGAAACTAAGTCAAAGCACTTTATTTACCAACAAGAAAAAGCACAATAATTTTTATAAACCTCTGCCAAATCACTACAAAAGATTTTAGAAATCGTCTTAAACTTTTATCATGAACCTTATTTATTCCACTGAAATAGATATATTAGTTTAAGTGCAGATAGTACTTTAACCATCTCATCTGACATCTAACTCAAAGCAGAATGAGAACTGGTGAATAAATGGAAAAACAGAATAATAAAACTGATACATGAGAACAAGGTAAGGGGCATGTTATTCATGCAATTCTCTTAGATTAAATATTTTAAGATTTGCCCTTGGATAGATTACCGAAAATTACACACTTGAACCACAACATCTATGTAACATGGAAAATAATGATTTAACTTTATTTTGAAGTATGAAAGACTCATGTGAAGAATTTCTGTATACTGTGATAAAACCACTAATAAAGACATTGTCTATGATTTTGTTTTCTGAAATCTTTTCCATGAAAAGACTTATGGCAAAATACTGTTAAAATATGGTTTCAGAAAACTATCTTTCTATTCTGATAAAATGATAGAGTTGTGTTCACTTTATGGAATTTTATAACTAAATTTAAGTCAATTTGGGGAGCTAAACTAGACTACATATTTAATAGGTTTAGTTTTTCCTCCCTAGGTATGGTTTCTTAATGTTTTTATTTCTTAATGTAAGTGCTTTATTAGTATATATAGCTTTTATTTGAAATGACTAATCAGTTTTAGAAGGCAGGGCATTCATTCTAAATAAATAAAAGTAAACATTTACCGATTTATTGATCTATATATTACTACCTATTTCACTATATATTCAGTAAAACACTGTCATGGGTTAAATTGTGTTCCTGCCCCCAAATTCATATGTTGAAGTCCTAACCTCTAGTACCTGTGAATGTGACCTTATTAGTAACAGGCTCAATGCAGATATAATTAGTTAATATTAGGTCATTAAGGTAAGCCCTCATCCAGTGTCCTTATAAAAAAGAGAAATTTGGAAGAAGACACATAGATCACCATGCAAAGATAAGGAAGAGATCAGGTGATGCTCCTACAAACCAAAGACTGTCCAAGATTACCAGCAAACCAACTGAAGCTACAGAAAGATCATGGAACAGATTCTTCCTCAGAGCCCTCAGAAGAAATCAACCCTGATGATACTTTGATCTCAGACTTCTAATCTCCAGAACTGTGAGACAATAAATTTCTGTGGTTTAAGCCACCTAGTTTGTGGTGTTTTGTTACACCAGCCTAGCAAACTAATAAACACTCCTTTTTTTTTTTTTTTTTTTTTTTTTTTTTGAGACGGAGTCTCGCTCTGTCGCCCAGGCTGGAGTGCAGTGGCGCGATCTCGGCTCACTGCAAGCTCCGCCTCTCGGGTTCACGCCATTCTCCCGCCTCAGCCTCCCGAGTAGCTGGGACTACAGGCGCCCACAACCGCGCCCGGCTAATTTTTTGTATTTTTAGTAGAGACGGGGTTTCACCGTGGTCTCGATCTCCTGACCTTGTGATCCGCCCGCCTCGGCCTCCCAAAGTGCTGGGATTACAGGCGTGAGCCACCGCGCCCGGCCACACTCCTTTTTTTTTAACAAATTTATTTTATATGCATCCAACATACACCAAACATTGCGGTAATGCAAAAAAAAAAAAAAAAAAGTAAATTTCTTTTGCATACAATAGCAGTCAAGTTCCTTTTAAAGAGGTGTGGATATAGCACGGCAATTTTAATACTCATCAAAATGAAATTTTATTTAAATTTTAAGTAAACTTAATTAGCATTAAAATATTATTTTTAGTACTTAATAAATTGTGACTACCTGAAAAACTACTCCCTCTTCTGAGATGGAAGAACATTATGTTCTTTTAAAACACTGCAATATGAGATCTTTTCCCTTAAACCTGATACCATGATCTAAAA